AATACCCTAGAGAAGAAAGAGGTTACCTGGCAACAAGTGACATCACAAGCTTAGTAACCGCGGTCGCACGCGCAAAGAGTGGGCACGCGCAGCRTTAGATCTCAAATTATACAAAAATACCATCATTTTGAAATTWACCTTTATTGGATATGATYAAAGATAGTCACATTAAGACGCCTTTRACTTCAGAATAAAAGAAAGAACGAGCTACGATTGATGTTTTGGTYATTARACTTTGCGCATGCGCGAATGTTGGTTGTGACGTACGATTTTCTTCCGGTGACGTAACAATCATGTTTCAAAGCAGATTCTCACACTTGCCTAATCTTTTTGTGAGAGAAGGACACGAATTTTCDCTGAGCGATTTACTTCACTGATTTTACAAAGATGTCAACTTGTACAGCTACATTGATCGAAATGTTCAACAAAGACATGGAGCGCGCTGCAYTCGAGGACAGTACAGAGTCTCCTTGGGGCGCAATTCAGAAARACCTTGGAGAAAMTTTTCTGGGGCAAAAGAGCTKTGYTGTTGACAATGGTTTCAAGGAAAACCCCTCCGACGATGATGTCTCTAGTGCGCAGAATCACGACCTTTSCAACAACAAACTTCCGTTGAATCCGGCTGTGTTAGGAAAGGAAAGCCCTGTTCAAAAGGTCGTCCGTGAAACAGAACTGCTACTTTCAGCATTGAACGTCAACACCGCAAAACAAGATARAAATAGTATGYTACTTACTGGAAATGAAGTCTCTGGCAGAAACAGCCAGGAAAGGTCTGCGGTGGCTAAGATCCATCCACTAAGAACTCTACGAACAGAAAACGGTATTTGTATAACATCAATAATAAATTAAGTGATAATTGATAGAATATAAGATATCATGCTCATTGCCAAAAATCAGCCTTTTTCATGTTATTTTATAAACATTGTCGRTAAGCGTAATTTTGGTTTTGTATTCTAAGTTACAGATTTTGAAATAATTCATATTAATAAAGTAATTATGTTTTCTTCATTTCAATATAGTGTTGGAKCAATATCCATCAAATTACAACAAGCGCACYCCAMAACACCTACACAAGTTGTTTGGTGCAGTACCAGCAAAGTCTACGAACAAAGATTTACAAAACGAGAAGACTTTTGCTAGCATCCACCCGATGCCATCTAAACACTCGGAATCAAAGATTAAAGGTAAGACCATCTCATRAATATTGTTCGTACAGTCTGTTTTCTAACTTTTAAGCTAAATGCAAAAAATGAGCGAGGGAAGCCATATCAAATACGATTTTAAGAGTAAATAAATACTCAAAGTTTCCAATAAACTGCATGGAAAGACTGATTTAGTAGGTCTATTTTGTTATTTTGCAAGTTTTCTTCTTAAAACACGTCCTTGATATAAGATTAATTATGATTCTCTTGGCAAAAATCCAACGCAGCACTGATCGACCTATAATAATGTCTGTGCCAAATTTTAATATTTGTATAATACTCCTCTATACCTTTTCTTTGTCTTCTGCCAATAACAGAACACTTTTTAGTTGTCTTCCTGAAAAATAAAAAGCAATTAAGCTTAAAATTATTTTTTGATTGAAAACGATAAGCTTAAGATTTTTGAGGTGGAGAAAGTTGCTGTTCAGTTTTCTAAAAGCCTACCTGATAATAGCAGTCACAATTGCTTCTGCCTGTTCTCTATATTTTGTTCTTTCTAATAGGTCTTTTATAATCCACTAATRCTTCAATCTTCTAACCAATTTTTGTGCAAACAAATGCCCAAAAATACTTTGAACATGTCTTTACAACGTTTGGTGCGCTCGCCAAGTCAGCATCTAAATGGCTTCCTCGTGATTTGATTGGCTAGTACTGGATATATCTAATTTTTGATTGGCTACTCAACCATCATAGAGGGGAGGATCTACCAATTTGTGTCATGTGATATAAAATGTCGGAAATATTCAGACGTTTTATGAATATATTCGTTGTACTGGAATGATTGAAATAACTAAATATTGCTTTCTTCTGACAATCATTAGAAGATTATCCTACTGATTACAACCAACGGACGTCAGAACAACTCAATTCGCTGTTTGGCGTACGAAGTGAAAAGGAAATTGGTTGCCTTGTCCATCCACTTGCACCATCTCAAGACTCAAAATCAAAGACAAAAGGTGGGTATTATTGTCAAGAGCTTGCTTATGAATTGCGCAAAAATCTTTTATCATGTGTAAAGCAGCTTCAACTTAATGAATGAAGACGTTTTTTAAAAGGATATATCGTCTTGTCTTTAATATTCAGGACATAAAGTGTTGGGAGATTACCCCATTGGTTACAACCAACGAACACCT